AATATAGTAATATTGAATGTATGGCACTGGTATTATCCATAAATGCCCCAAAATCACAAATACGAGAGTGGGGTTACCAAACCTTTTACCTTCCACATGAGTATGAGATGAGTATAAGAGTTTGGAATTTTGGATATTTGAATATGGGTACGAGAATGATTTAGGAAAATCTACAATCACTAATCACGAATCTGCACATGAAAATATGTGAAGGAGCAAAGTCTGTTGCGTATTTTTCTCAATATGTATATGCATTATCTATAAGCTTCGTTTAATGGCTTGTGAAATGTTGGACTAGTAAGTGAATCTTTGATATTTCTGGCAATGCTTCATCAAGTTTCAAGATAAGTACTAACTTATAATCCGGTTTGTTGGCCGAAATGTTCATATTTGATTATTTATATTTTTATGTTACATTTAATTTTATTAATTAATTTGATTTTATTGACAATTCTTCGATGGAAATGATATATAAAGAAAGAATATATAGGTCGAACGTCCAAAGAAATATCACAATCATTTAAAAATAAGAAATGTAAAACTGTATCATTAATAGGGGTGTGTAAACGGATCGGACCAAACTCATGGGAACCGCGGTCCATTTGTGAAATGCATCTTAGGACAAGGGTTTGGCCATTAGTGTTGAACCCAGTGGGAGAGTTATGCTGAATTTAGAAGGGATTGTAGCTCCCCACAAGCCTAAAATTACTTGGAAATTTTTTATCATATAGAAATTAGAATAGTCGGGAAGACTTTAGTCCCCCTCCTCCAGTATGACATTTCAAATCATTCCCTACTCATCCAAAATTGTGATGTGATCACTGATTGAATCTAGTCATCTCACGGATTTTTTTCAGAAATAGCACTGTTAAAATATTTTTTTACAAAAATACCACCCAACCCCAAAAAATTCCAAAAAATAGCACCCTTTCTCGAAAATCGCCACCCGAACCAGCGATTTACACGAAAATCGCTGGGTGGGGATGCAGTTTTCGATGAAAACCGCACGGTAAGGGGGCGATTTCGAAAACCGCTCGCGGTGGGGGCGGTTCGGTCCAAAACCGCTGCCCAACCGTGCGGTTTGGTCCATAATTTTTTTTTTCGAAAAATGCTAACCTAGGTGCAAACTTCAAACGAACGTATCTTTGTGTTCAGGTATCCGATCGTCGCGAACGAGCCTTTTTCCAATTTCGACAAACTTTGGATGACCGTAACTTTGTGCTCGAAAATCCAAACTTCATGAATTGGGTTTTCATTTCACGTAACTTTTTAAGGACTACAACTTTTATCCTAGACATAATTTCGGAATGTACGTGGGTTTGTGAAAAGGGAAGGTAAAGTTATTGACAAAAACATGTATATCCAAAAATAATTCCTGTTTTGAAAATTTCTTCCTAGTAAAAATTGTAGTCCTTCAAAATTTATGTGAAATGAAAAAAAATTCACGACGTTCGGATTTTGAAGCACAAAGTTATGGTTGTTCAAAGTTATTAAGGATTTTTTGCATTCAAGGACTAAAACTTAGTCAATATGTAATCGATTCAATAAAAGAGTTGTAGTTTGGTGGTGTAGATGTTGTGTTAAATTTAGTTTAACTATTTGTTATCAGGGTTTGACCACCACCCTCACAACATTCTGCTTTTTTTAATCTCTACTAAACTGCCGGGTGGGGGTGCGGTTTGCACCCAAAACGCTCGGCCCCATGCGGTCAGCAAAATCGTCCCCTACCCATGCGGTTTTTGTCGAAAACCGCGCCCCACACTACGTTTTTCGAGAAAGGGTGCTATTTTTGGAATTTTTCGGGACTGGGTGCTATTTTTGTAATTTTTTTTAAACAGTGCTATTTCTGGAAAAATCCCTCATCTCACCTCACATTTGAATTTCCTCGTCCAATTTTGGAACTCCCGTATATAAAGTTTTGGATTTCCTCGTATTTTCTCTCCTTCGTGGCAGGATAAGTAGGTCTCTCTTCGTTGGCTCGCCGAGCGGAACCCGGTTCGAGGTTGCAGAGAAATCGTCAAGTGTGGTTGCACTTGAATCTTTCATTTTTTATACTATGTTATTTGATTTGATTTTGACCATCTACAGATGTGTTGTTGTCTTGTTGAGGAAAATACAAGGCTTATATTTTCATTGTGTGGGATGAAAGTAATTAGTAGATCTATCGTGGATTTTTTAGAATTTGTGGGAAAAGGCCAAAAGGACCACAATAGAAAGACCCACACAATGTGCAAGCCCAATCCAAAGTCTAAAAGCTACTAAAATGACATATTCAGCCCAATTCAAAATGTTTATATGCAATTGAGCACACACAATTTTCTCTTAGACAACAGTAAACATGATTTAGTTTTATATATATTAACTTGTTAATATGCACATAAAATGGCCGGTTTGAAAAAAAGATCATTTAACAAATTGAGTGTACTGCCACTTTCCCAAATTTTCATAAAATAAGGGATCTTTTGGAAGTTTTTTTTTTTATGAATAAGCCGATTTTATTCATCAAGAAGGAGGGCTTTCCAAAAAAGAGAACCCCCCAACTGGAACCAAACAATCAGTAACTGTTCAACACCAGATTACAATCAGGAGTTTTGACTACCAAGCTAATCAAATTACAGAGAAACACAAAACCCCCTAACCATTTCTAATACTACACCACTATACTGCTGATATAGTCTTCTGAAACAACAAGTTCCACCTGGGGAAAACCATTCCTGAGAAGTTGCAGCAGCCCTTGCAGCTTTTTCAGCAGCTGGACTTCTGATAGAGCCTCCCCAGTCATGGCTCGTCTGTAACGTTCCCGCCAGAGCTCAGCCACCACCATTACCCAAAGGAGCCTACCTCTTTCTGACATAAAGTTCTTCCCCCTGAACAATGATACAGCATTTGCCAATGAACCTTCCCAGTTTGCCCCCACCACATCTCTGCCTGCAAACATTGCTTGCATCACACGTTTAGAATAAGCACATCCAAAGAAAAGATGATCTCTGGATTCTTCTGCAGAAGAGCATAATGGGCAAAGATTTACCACTGCATTATTCCACCTCTGTACCTTGTCTAATGTGGCAATTCTATTTAGGATGATAAGCCAGACTAGGAGCTTATCTCTAGGTGTGCCATAGGACTTCCAAAGCAATGAGTACCACTGCACTACCTCATGTTTATCACGAAGGGTCTCCCAGACTGCTTTTACTGAAAACTTGTGCATCACACAGTCTCCCCAATACACACCTGTAGGTCTGACTAATAAATGTTGAGCAACTTTTGATCTAATCTTCAGGACCTTCCTCCAGGCCCAAGAGCAAGGCATAGAAGAAGGTATATCCCACAGTGAAGTGTAGGTGAGCTGATAGTGTCTAACCCAACTAGCCCACAGAGAAGAAGAATTTGAAGAAAGAGCCCAGAGGTGCCTAACCAAGCAGGCCATATTCCAGCTCCTGAGGTCTTTGAAACCTAATCCCCCTTCTTTCTTAGGCCTAGCTGATCTTTTGGAAGTTGCGCTTGTTTATGTTGTATTTGTTAAATACATGCATTATTCACAATACAATGTTTGAAAGTGTCAAGTTGCAAAACAATACATATATTGTTTTATGTGGATTCCAACAATAAAAAAATATGAGGGATTGTACAATCTCAATTAAAAGTTGTGCTTGTTGTGATTGTTGCTTTAATAGTTGAGCTCCCTCTTCTTTTCCATTTCATATTTCCTTTTGTTTTATATTAAAAGTGGAGGGCAAATGTGACATTTCCTTATAACGTAACTTTATGACAATCAATTCATAACTATAATCTCAACAATCAAATAATGTAATGTCAAAATGTGTACGTTGTATTAATGCATGCATTTATATCATACTGATTCATAACAATACAACGATTTAACATACTCAACTTCCAAACGACCCATAAAATTAAGAATAGAAAAACCATATCGGAGATTGTACCAGAAAACTCAACAGTAGTGTACTTAATACTAAAATCGTGGTTCACTATTTCATACTACTAAATACCACCTACCAATTTAGAATCCGATGAAAAAATTTCCAATCCAACTAATGCTACTATATGTTTTTTCAATCTTTTGATCAATCCAAAACTAGGGGGAGAATTATGGATAAAGGCAACGACATTGATTTGCGTGTCATAGAGGCTAGCAAGAGAGAACGGATCAGGTCAGTAACTTGATGGTCAGTAACCATGAGTAACCCGTCCACATCAGGATGACATCAATATCCCTCTCTCTCCTGGAAAGTCTTTTATCTTTTTTCCATTAATCTTTAACGAACGATTTCTCTCTCATTTTAAGTCAAAATTATTTTTGTTTTGCACAGATAAATCAGATTAAATGTGCTCTTTAAAATGATATTCACTTTGATATATTTTTACTACAAAAAAAATTGAATAGTTTTTTACCAGTCATTACCATATGGTATGCTCCTATTTAATACCATATCGTAATAAAGCGTACCATGATGGTATGACAAGAAGGTTGAATACATGATAGTAGGAGTATACTAACTGTCATTTACGACTTTCATCATTGTTTACTACAAGTTACCACCCACATACCATAGTGTTAAAGTATGCTAATTTTTTGTACAATATTTTTTCACCCAGAAATTTGTAGATCCAATAGATCATGATGAACTCGTTCCTTCTGAGCAAACGTTTTCAAAACGACTTAAATAAGAAGAAGTTACCATATGGTATGTAGTTGGTAAAAAAAAGTTTCTCGAAATATATTGAAAATTGATATCATTTTGTAGAGCACAACAAACTCGTTCCATCTGTGCAAAATTATTGAAATCCGAGTTAGAACGAAGAAGATAAGAGTCGATTATGAAAACTAAAGGAAAAAATGCCTATAATTGACAACATTTAAATCTAGATTTTTTGAGTCTAATTAGATTTAAAGGTCCAAATTTAGTTACTCATGTTGTAAGCACCAGAGAGATCACTTCCGTAGTAAGTTCGTCACCTCATTTAATCTCTTTTGATCCCATAATGGCAGCAAATTTGGGCATTTAATTTTGCCACCGAACTTCCCCTCTCTCTCTCTCTCTGCCTTCTTTCATTGAATCATTTCCCTTGCCGCTCGCCTTCCATCAAGATTTGTTCCAACGATAAAAGCTCTGCACTCCCGGACTCCCCCCATCACTTCTCTCCTACTCCCCATCCAATTTCTTCTCTTCTCCAGGATCCCAAAACTCAGGAGTCAGGACATTCAGCCATGGCTGCCACCGAACTCAAATCTGCCGCCATTCTTGATCTCCTCAAGGCCTTCCTCGAGACAGACGAAGGCCTCCAAGTCAGGAAGAAGGTCAATCTCGTCTACCAGTTCAACATCGCCCCCAAGGTCAATTCCCCTTCTGTTGTGTTCGATATATTTTTTCCCCCTCTCTGATCGGGTTCAGTCAGTCTGCGTGATCCCTCTGAAACGTTTCTCCTCGGCCTCTCAGAAAATTGGGTTCGATGAGGTGATTTTCACAATTGATCTCAAGACAGGCCAGGTCACTAAAGGTTAGGGTTTTCAATCTCTTCCCCCCTCCCCCGATCCTGTGTATGGAAAATTTTGAAGCGTGGTGTTCTGTGTTCATTATGTCCATTTGGAATTCTGATGCAATGGAAGTTTGCGACTTTCCTGCAGTATATGTACTGTAGTTAAATGGGTATGCACACAATTGAAATGGAATGTCTTCAATTGGGTTCCTTTCTGCACACGTAGTTATGTGATTCCTCTTAGGATATGGTGGAATGATTGCTTACTTTAATTGTAATGTGGTGCACATTGAGACACCCGCAATTAGTACTTGGGATTTGATTGTTTGGAGTTTGCTGTGTTGTGGGGGAAGTCAGGTCCATATGAAGGAGGGAAGCCTGATGCTGTGTTTTCACTTAAAGATGAGGATTTTATGAAGCTTGCAACGGGGAAGATGAACCCTCAGATTGCTTTCATGAGGTTTGGCTTGCAAGCTACTGTATATCTTTCTTGTTTATCGAAGATTGATCTCTGACAATTGGGTTTTCATGTTTGATGTTTGTTGGCAAATGAAACAGGGGAGCACTGAAGATCAAGGGCAGCCTAAGTGCTGCTCAGAAGTTCACCCCTGATATCTTCCCGAAGCCGTCGAAGCTGTAAGGAGGAGGAGCCTGCAGAGTTGGTTTGGTTAATTTGTCTGCTTGAACTACTGGTCTTGTTAGAAAAGTGATTCATGACTCCCTTTTTCTCGTCTAATAGTTCCATTACAATGCCACAAATGTCCCAGTCTATTTCACATCGGACTCATGTATGAGTAGTCATTTGCGTAGAAGGGGTTTGATTGGTGTGTTACTTTGGAGACAAGTTTTAAGTGGATCAGACATTCAGACTTCACAATCAAATGACGTTCACCTTTTCCCCTTTCTAGTTTCCTTATTATGGGTTGCGATCCTTCTGCTTTGCTCGTTTGCTCTTTCTGTCATGCATGCTCTCATTACACTCAGTAGTCTCTATAGAATGAGAACTGAAAAGTCAGAATGTAATTGATTGCCTTTTTCCCCTCCTTTTCTGAAATGCAATTGATGGCTTTGGTGGTACTAAAAAAATGAAAACATACTCTCCATGAGCACCGAACTCAGTTTTGTCATCTTATTTTGGAATTCAATTTCACTCTTTGAACAGCGCATTCTGGTTGGATACATGTAGATGAACAGAAATGGACAAAGTGAGCAGAAATGGATCGGAAACCCTCAAAAGATTGAGGTTTCTCTGTTGTTCATTTATATAAGAACGTTATACAGTACTTAGCTCAGGTTTAAACTGAGTTTGCCACATGGCTCAACCTCATAGGATAATTCATTACATTAACTTTAAACTAAACGGTAAGTAAAGTGCAATGCGACGACGTTGAGGTGAAACGTTTCTTCTTCATCTTCTTCATTCTTCATCGACGTTTCTTCACTAGCTTCAATATTCAGCTTCTGCTTCCTGAAGACGAGGATGCTTCAGCTTGAACCATGGTCTCTGTCAGCCTCCCACAAGCTGGAGCATACCTGTTCTCTACTCCCATCTTCTCCAACAGCTCTTTGATTCTATACCTGCTCAAAGCTTTCGTGAATAAATCTGCCAATTGATCCACAGAGTTCACATAAAACAGTTTAATCAAACCAGTCTTCACCCTTTCTCTTATCACATGTATATCAATTTCAATGTGTTTGGTCCTCTCGTGAAAGACCGGATTTTCTACAATGTGTATTGCAGATTTGTTGTCACCGAATGGCAAAGATACTTCAACACTGAGTTCTGCCAGTAGATTTCTCAGCCATTGAACCTCACATACAAGATGTGCTAGTGCTCTGTATTCAGCCACAGATGATGATCGTGAGACTGTGGATTGCTTCTTCGCTTTCCAGGTTATCATAGAACTCCCCAAGAAAGTACAATAACCAGTCACAGATCTCCTGGAATCAGAGCAGCTTGCCCAATCCGAATCACTGTAACCAGACAGTTGAAATGATGAATCACTCTTGAAGAATATACCTTGCCCAGGTGCATTTTCGATATATCTCAAGATTCTGAAAGCAGCTTGTAAATGTTCTGTGTATGGTTCCTTCTGGAATTGACTCAACTGCTGTAATGGAAAGGTTAGATCTGGTCTTGTAGTGGTCAAGCAATGCAAACGACCAATCAACCTTCTATAAACTTCAGGATCAGCTAGTGGTTTACCTGGTTTTGCTCTCAACTTCACTTTGGGGTCCAATGGTGACTTACACCTTTTAGCATCAAAGTAGCCTGTGTCCCTTAGTAGTTCCATGCAATATTTCCTTTGGCATACTGCAATGCCACTGCTGCTTCTGTTAATTTCTAGGCCTAGAAAGTATTTCAAACTACCCAAGTCCTTAATCTTGAAGTTCTTCAGATACAACTTTACTTCTTTTATATCCTGTCTCTCACTGTCTCCCAGGATGATATCATCCACATAAACTAACAGAACTACAATTCTTCCATGAACCCACTTGGTAAAAAGAGAATAATCTGAAGTTGGTTGTGCAAAACCATGCTTCAGCAATGAACTAGTGAGTTTGGCAAACCATTGCCTACTTGCTTGTTTCAAACCATAAATTGATTTCTTCAATTTGCAAACCAGATTTTCCTTCCCATTTGCTCTGGTATCTCCAGGAGGTAATTGCATATACACCTCCTCATCAAGGTCTCCATGGAGACATCCATCTGATCAAGCACCCAGTTCTTACTAGCTGCTACTGCCAATAATGCCTTGACTGTGTTTATCTTAGCAACTGGGGAATATGTATCCAAAAAATCAATCCCATAAACTTGTGTGAACCCCTTAGCTACCAACTAGCTTTGAATCTTTCAATACTACCATCAGGTTTGAGTTTAATTTGATAAACCCACTTGCAACCTATGGCATTCTTTCCTGCAGGAAGTACTACAATTTCCCATGTTTGGTTGGCTTCCAGAGCTTGCCTGTCTTCTTCCATGGCTTTATTCCATTTGTCTGACTTAGCTGCTTCTGCATAACTGACAGGTTCCACCTTAGTGACTAAACTCAGGGCATAATGTTTGTCACCTAAGGTAAGCTGCTCATATCCCAAATAATCAGACATTGGATATCTGCTTGCTACTCCAACATAGTAATCATTTAATCTAGCAGGCAGTTGTCCTCTATTTGCTCTAACTGGTCTCCCTTCAAATTCAGCTTGGAACTCTAACTCTGATGACTCATCTTCTAGTTGGTCTAGATTAATGTCTAACCTTTGAGTATCTGGTTCTGAATCAGAGTCAGGACAAGCATCAGCAACCTGAACATCAACAGCCTCATGGAGAGGTGCTGGCCCCCCTGATGTGACAGGTTCGCAAGCAAAGGGTGGATGAAAAGGAATGGAGGAAGGAGCCAAAGGAGGAACTGAAGGAACATATGAGGGAGAAGAAGGAGGTTCATTAGGAAGAGGTCAAAAAGGTAGAATGGTCTCATGGAAAGTGACATTTCTGGAGACAAAAACATGGTGATCATGCAAATCAAAGAGCTTATAGCCCTTAATGCCAGATGGAAAACCAAGAAAAATGGCTTGGCGAGCACGAGCCTGAAACTTGGTTCTGCCATGTTGAAGAGTGGTAGAGTAACACAGACATCCAAACACCTTTAAGTTGTGCAAAGAAGGTGGTTTAGCATAGAGCATTTCATAAGGGGACTTGTTGTGTAAGAGAGGGGTAGGGATGCGATTTATGAGATACACAACATGTAACACACAGTCACTCCAGAACTTTAAAGGGACACCAGACTGAAATCTTAGAGCTCGGGCAACGTTTAAGATATGTTGGTGTTTCCTTTCCACACGGCCATTCTGTTCAGGGGTTTCAACAAACGAAGTCTGGTGTTCAATGCCTTGAGACAAATAAAATTCATTCATATGGAACTCTTGACCCTGATCACTACGAATGACTTTGACAGTTTTATCAAACTGTCTGGTAACCAAATGACAGAAGCCTTGTAACAAATCACGAGCCTCAGATTTATGTTCCATCATGTAAATCCACACACAACGAGTGTAATCATCAACAATAGTTAAAAAGTAAGCATAACCATCATATGATTTAGTGGATAGGGGCCCCCAAATGTCAACATGAATCAAGGCAAAAGTTGTATCAGCAGAATGAGTAGTAACAGGAAAGGGTAAATTCTTCTGTTTAGACAGATGACAAACTTCACAGTGATAAACAAGTTCACTGGTTACATGGGAATGACGAGTCTGAAGTAAATGAAACCTCTCTCTACTAGGGTGTCCTAGACGCTAATGCCAGAGATGGACATCTTGAGGATTGAAATTGTAAGTGAGAGCAGCTTGGTGAGTGGAGGAAGAAGAATTTGGAAGTGGAAAGGAGAAAGTGAGATGGTAAAGACCATTATGTTGTTTTGCCAAACCAATATGCTTCTGGGTCAGAACGTCCTGGATGTCACAAACATCAGAGTGAAAATGTAAAGAAATTGGCATTTCACTTGTAAGTTTGCTGACAGAAATGAGGTTGAAGCTAAAACTTGGGAGAGGAAGAACATTGTGTAAAATGATGCCAGAAGGGAGTTGGACAGTGACACGCTACGACACAACACCAAACTGCGACCAAGTGTAATCGTAGTCTAGGAAAGCAGTAAAGAGACAAGTTCTAATTATCAACCCGGGGTCTAGATCTACTGCCTACTCCGTGAATATCTATTATCTAGCCAACTAAGTCGATTGATTGTGGTTTTAACTAAAAGCAGTAAGAAAACAGGAATTGGTTCGGTTTTCTGAAGCAACGGAAGAGTCACTCGGGAATGAGCCCCCCTAGCTCCTTAGTTACGTCTCAGTTGTCATTTTCCTGGGTTGATTTTCTGTTGATTAAACTGTGGAAGATCCGACAGTAGCTTGGAATCTCTTAAGCTGACCAAACCCTCTCAGTCCAAATACCCGGCAGAAGACTAGTCTTCACCGAGATAGAAAGCTGAGGCAATAAGCACAGAACACCACTACTGGAATTGGGTTCTAGTACAAAGCAATAGATTGATTGACTCTCGTATAACCAATCTACCACTATTGAATGATGAAGCTCTAACAACCTAATCAGATTCTATCTATCTCAGGTTGCAGCAGAAATCAAGAAAAGGTGATCAGTATAACAATCCCAAGTCATTACAATCATGATCCCTAACACATGGAACTAGGATTCTTCAAACCCAAGTGAGAGAGGGTTCTAGTCCATAAAGAGAGAGAGAGAGAGAGAGAGAGGAAAACAGCAGACAAAGCAGTCATACTCATCATGATGGGAAGAATCTGCTCTGGGATGATGATGAAGCTCTAACAACCTAATCAGATTCTATCTATCTCAGGTTGCAGCAGAAATCAAGAAAAGGTGATCAGTATAACAATCCCAAGTCATTACAATCATGATCCCTAACACATGGTACTAGGGTTCTTCAAACCCAAGTGAGAGAGGGTTCTACTCCATATATAGAGAGAGAGAGGAAAACAACAGACAAAGCAGTCATACTCATCATGATGGGAAGAATCTGCTCTGGGATGATGATCTTCACTCCAAGGATGATTTCCAAGCTTGATTGATGAAACCCAGCTCCAAAACCACTATTAGGAGGTGTTCTTCGCACTTTCTACCTCTAGGGCTCTGCTTTTATCTCTGAAAAGTTGACCCCCCTCCTTTGGCTCGAATTGGGGTAAAAACCCAGAAATTCCCGACCACATGGGCAGGCCACACGACCATGTAACTCTCCCAGGTTGCCCGTGTGAGTGTCAAAACGCGGAGTTTCGATAAGTGGCTTCAGGCTTCCTACACGGCCACGAACCACACGGCCGTGTGGACTTTCAGGGTGCCCGTGTGAGTTTCCTGGAATTTCCACACGA